TTGACATTTTAACAAATATTCCTGGTCCAGATGGAAATAAATTAAAGATAAATAATTTATGTTTGTAATTGAAAAAAAATGTAGGGTATAAAACTATTAAATCTTATTAGTTATTATAAAGTCATATCAGGTAAAAAATATGTTAATTTAATAACGCCTACCTTATTGAATTATTTTAAATATGCACTAATAACTAGTGTAGACGTAGCACGTAGTTTTTCTTTGTATTGTTGTGAATGCTAAGAACCCCTGGCTAGGCTGGCTACATATTATATGTAGAATAAATGTTATTAGTATTAGTAATATTGTACACCACCTCCGGCCAAAACGGAATGTGCTGAGCAAACCCTTTCGGCCGGACGGAGCAACGACTCGCTGTGTATAACACAAGCGAGTCAGTCTTGGTTTAGAATCAGAGCCTTATGATTGTCAGAACCTCACATAACATTCGGAACATTTTATATTAATCATACTTATTTAGAAGCATCTGCCGTTATTAATGACATCCAATAAAGTTAATTTAGTTCTTTTCAATTTGTGTTGTGACTATATTATTTGTGACTGAACACCTAAGTGCGTTCATAACAGTATAAACATATTTTAAGTATAATAGAAGATTTAATTTTAATGAACATAATTTGGAAATGTCTATAACTATCAATTTTAATTCAAAAAAGTAACATTTATCTAATTTTTTTATATAAYTTGAATTTTTATAGTGCAATTTATTATGCACTTCTTACGTATTAATTGGTGCAATTATATAATATTTCAATAGGTAATTTTTGTGTATTTCCAATGAAATTAAATCCGGTCTTTAATAATGACTGAATTATGTTACATAAATTTGTCTCTGTATAATATGAACAAATCTTAAACAAGATACTAAGGATAAATTGATAAAAGATAAACATAACGAATATATAAAATATATTTTATCTCCTTAATTACTTTTGAAAAGTAGCTTGTCTATTCACTAACTATTAATCGTTTTTCGGATTTCGATTCTTTCTTGTACAATAATGCTAAGTCACCTATTTCCCATTGGGCACTTTGGGCACATGACCGGAGCYCTGCGATCCATAAGGCCCCTAGCTCCTGCCAAATCAACAACCAACAGTGGCGCAAACTGGGGGTCACAAAGGTATTGTATTGCGACCCTAGAAATTTCATTTATAATAAAATTATAAATGAAAAGTTTTTTGATGTAATAATTAGTAACTATATATAATTTGGTTTCAGTTAAAATTGTTGAGATTAACTCATATTTTGAGAATCCATGAGAACAGTATTTTACGTATTCGAATAATCGGATTTCACGCCATAGCCGGCATATTATTGTCTATTTTTAGTTATTCTTTGTGGACTATGATTACTGGTTGTGCACTAATATAAATATAATATAATCAATGATAAAATATGTAATCCTAATATCGTATTAACTATAAAAATATCGTATTAACYTAATATAATGCAGTTGCGCAAGTTTGCACTTGCAATAAACTGGCCACGATGTCCATATACTATAAGTTGTACCCCTACAACTCCGTGCTGTGGACACTCCCCCCTACCATTTAAAGGTGTTGCTTGAGTAACACCTTGACCATAGGATAGCCGCCACTAGGACTTATTCCAAGAAGATACCGCGCGATCGACGTCTAATTATGGTTCGGTTGGGTGGGGAGTGGTAAGTGAAATATTGTACTCTGCGGGTTACTACTACTAATAATCATTTACGACTATACAATATATACTATATATATACTATACTATATATACAACGACAAGGCTGATTACCGAATGTATAAGAAGTTGCCTATAAATGTTCCTTTGAATCCAGTAGTATGGAGGCCCCTTAAGAGGACGCC